GAAGGGAGCGTATATGTTCCATACAAAGGGCATTTAAGTGTGCGAGACGTGAATTTAAATTGTATTTATTTACAGAGGTATATTATGTCCCACTTCACGCTTCTCTAGTAAGTTTCGTCTGTGTGTGAAGACGCTGCAGGCAGCGGCGCAGTGTAAATCTGTAAATGAATATTCCGAAGTGAAGTAAACTTCAGCGGATTTCCCCTGCTCAGGGAGTAGGGAGCAATGCACACTGTGTAGGGAGCATGTCAGTCGGAACACAGTTCATGCACGGAGCTCACTTCTAACGAGATGATCTGAATCAGGTGTGTTAACAAAGAGAGACGTGCAAAACATGCAGAGCGGGGGTACACGAGGACTGGGATTGAGAACCGCTGGTCTAGAAAAATTATTATAAATACAACACGACGTAGATGGGTGCCGCCGTTGTGCCTACACTCATAGAAAATAATATATTTGAATTTTAAAGACGTGGCGCGACGCTGCGCTTCTCGTCCGGTGCGCGACCACCTGAAACGCGAAAGCGGATGATGTCAGGAAACAGTGGTTGCAATTTATTTAAACTCTGTTCCTGAGCATTTGACTGAGGACAGCTTCCACATCACGAGTGAGAAGTGCCGGATTCGCCAAAAGCTTTTGTTGAAAGACGGAGCAAGGGGGCATGGCAGTACTGAAACACCGTCTAAGCTGTTCGCCAATCACTACGCACCGGGACAGCTAACCAATCACAACACATTCTGTTTTTCAGAAGGTGGACCTTCATCAAAGCCGGAACTAATCGAGCCGTTTGTGCCAGCCTGGGGAGAGAGGTGTTGTAATAATGTAAATTATGTGAAAAATAATGCGTTTTTCGAACCACCGAGCATGAGAGCATGTTCTAGTACACCCCCAAAACAACATCAAGACTTTGTAAAAGAGCATAATAGGACACCTTTAAGGCATACGAAAATTATTTTCACAAGAAAAAAACATTTAAATATGTCATTTTGATGCTCAAAGATGAGTTTTAAAGGATACCATTTTTGACTACAGGGGGACTTTAAAAATAAAAACTTTGTCGTGCCAGCTAGCTGAAATAAAATAAGCTTGTGTTTTTTATATTTTATTTTCTATTTATTTTATGTCAGTTAAGATTTATTTTAAATAACAATTTTTTATATATACTTTCTTTATTTAAAATTCAGTTTTAGAAAATTCGTTGTGCGTTTTTGTCAGTTTAGTTTTTTATGTAAATAAATATGTCTAATTTTAAATTAATTTTTATTTCAGTTTTTTTAGGAACTCAAGTTTAACTAAATGAAAATGGAAAAAAGTAGCTGAAATAAAAATAAGTTTTATTTATTTATTTTATTTTATTTCAGTTTACATTTACTTTATTTCAAGTAACAAATATTTGTATTTTATATTTTCAGCTTTCATTTGACTTTTAGTTAAACTTTTGGTAATTTTGTTGTGTTTTTGTCAGTCTTAGTTTTTTTTTGTATTTGTAAATAATCATGTAGTTTAATTTTTATTTCAGTTTTAGTTATTTTAGTAAATCAAGTAACACTAAATGAAAACGTAATTTTTAAATGAAAACTTAATTTTATTACAAATAACGAAAATTTATTTTTATTTATGTAATTAATTATAATAATTCTGTGTCCCAGTGATCAATTTTTAATAAAAATAGCAGATTGTAACTTTACATGAAGGTCAGATTGAAACAGTTTTAGACACTTTGTATCTTCATGCCTTTTATCATTTATATTTGCTACTTTTTAAATGTCTTCTAAGTTTCAATGTTACTGTTTTTACTTGTTACTTTCAATCTTTAGCTGAGACTTCAGACTTCACAGAATATGAAAGTTTAAAACTATGATGATATAAACGTCAGAAATCAGAAAAATCATAAACAATGTCGTCACATGTTCTCCACCGCTTTTGTCACGACGACAGCAGGTGTTTCTGAAACAGGTGTTTCTCTCCGGCTGAGAGCCACATTCCCACAAACAAACACAACAATCATCCGCTGCTGGATCTCGTACGATATGAATTTGCTGAATTCGATAAGCGGCAGCGGGAGCCGTCATCTCTGGCAGTCCCGGCCGCCGAGCTTCACAAAACTAATCTTTGACTTCAGAAGAGCATCTGGATTCAATTACACACCGGCCGCCGAGATTTACATAGCAGAGAAAAAAAAACAATAACCGGAAATACAAACAGAAAAACTTTTACAAGTTACCTTTACAAGCTATTCAAGTTCTTTCACAAAAACACCTGCCTGTGTGTGTTTAAGGTGAGAGGAACATTTCACTCCAATCAAAAGAAATTATATTTTGCATAAATAAAAGGACCATTATGATTTTTTTTTTGCATTATTATTGCCTTATTTTCAGATCAAATCAGCACATTTGACCCATACATTCTCATCACTGTAATGTGTCCAGAGCTTGTCCTTTTCAGTTGTTGTAATTCTCATTATTCTCAGTGCTGAGTCAATAATAACTAAAGTAAAATATCAAATGCATATTAAGATTCATATGCATTTATATAAAAAATACTGTAATAAAATGTTTTACTTAAATTGGCATAAAAACATACATACTTTACAATTAAAATACATATATTTCTTACTGTTTGTTTTTTCCACAATACAGTAATACAAATTTGAAGGTAAAATGAGTTCATTGTCACGAAAATAACGTCACTATTTTCCTAAAATTCATTTACTTCATGCAAAACAGGGTTATTAGCATTAATTAAACCATGAAATAAACTTATATATATATGTTTATTTCATGATATACTCACTGCTCTTGAACTTTAAAAAAGATATAAAGACTATAGTGTTATTTGATTAGCAGAATTATTAAATTTCTGTATTCTAGCTGTAAATCACTGTTAGACCTGCCTGACATGCACCGTTTCTATATCTTTATTGTATAGTTGGCTATTTTGTGCTATTGCTTGTAATTTGATTTGCTCTTATTTTACAACTGACTATTTACTAGTTTTTAAAAATGTAGCCTATTAAATTTATATTGGTTAAGCTAGTAGTTATAGCACGTATCGAAACTGGAATCAAGGATTGTGAGGTATTATCTAGAATTTTGCTGTCATAACTGCCTGTTTTTTTTTTTCCCGTGGCTGGTAAAAATGTTTTTTTCTGTCACCGGCCATTGGCAGGTCAGGCAAAAACTTAGTTTTAGGCCATGTATATATATACATATAAAATTAAAATATATTTAAGTATGTTCAAATATATTTAAATATTTTTAATATTTTGAAATAAAATATAAAAAACTTACACTTGATTTAATTCAGCTAGTTGCCAGGGCAACTCATTTTCATTTAGTTTAAGTTGAAGTTCTAAACGAAATAAGAATTAAATAAACAAACTTAATCGATACAAATATAAAAGCAAAATTTTATTAAAAATATTAACAAAAACTATTATATCAGTGATATAAAAAAATGACACTTATGTAAAATATTATTTTTTTTCTGTTTATTTTGAGGTGCACGTGAAAAAATTCACGAATAAACAGAAAAAAATCTTAATATAAACTATATAAACTTGTATAAAACTTTTCTCAGTTATGACTGTTTTTTTTTCTTTCTTGTACAGGATGGAGTATTGACATGACACACACACAGACACACACACACACACACACACACACACACTCACACCCACACACACACACACACACACACACACACAATAGAAATGATGCATGAAATATAAAGGCAAATATCATACTTAAACATATCCTACATGTTCAAAAATGTAGGCATTCGGTTTTAGAGGTCAACTCAAAAGGTCAAGACGATTCAAACTCTTCCTCACTGCAGCAGTAGATGATTGTTAACAGTGACTGAAAACAGCGGCAGCTTTCAGTCTGTCAGCATCATGCACACATCAAATATCAGGCATACAGTAGCAGTTTCCATTGCTTTTCTATAAACACTGTAGACATGGTGTTAAAGTGATAGACACAGAATCCCAATAATCCTGCTCTGTCGTCTGCTTTTCTAATGTTGATCAAAGAAAAAAAACAATCACTCACTGCTCTTAAACTTTAAAAAAGATATAAAGACTATAGTGTTATTTGATTAGCAGAATTATTAAATTTCTGTATTCTAGCTGTAAATCACTGTTAGACCTGCCTGACATGCACCGTTTCTATATCTTTATTGTATAGTTGGCTATTTTGTGCTATTGCTTGTAATTTGATTTGCTCTTATTTTACAACTGACTATTTACTAGTTTTTAAAAATGTAGCCTATTAAATTTATATTGGTTAAGCTAGTAGTTGTAGCACGTATCGAAACTGGAATCAAGGATTGTGAGGTATTATCTAGAATTTTGCTGTCATAACTGCCTGTTTTTTTTTTTTCCGTGGCTGGTAAAACATATTTCTGTCACCGGCCATTGGCAGGTCAGGCAAAAACTTAGTTTTAGGCCATGTATATATACATATAAAATTGAAATATATTTAAGTATGTTAAAATATATTTAAATATTTTTAATATTTTGAAATAAAATATAAAAAACTTACACTTGATTTAATTCAGCTAGTTGCCAGGGCAACTCATTTTCATTTAGTTTAAGTTGAAGTTCTAAACGAAATAAGAATTAAATAAACAAACTTAATCGATACAAATATAAAAGCAAAATTTTATTAAAAATATTAACAAAAACTATTATATCAGTGATATAAAAAAATGACACTTATGTAAAATATTATTTTTTTTCTGTTTATTTTGAGGTGCACGTGAAAAAATTCACGAATAAACAGAAAAAAATCTTAATATAAACTATATAAACTTGTATAAAACTTTTCTCAGTTATGACTGTTTTTTTTTCTTTCTTGTACAGGATGGAGTATTGACATGACACACACACAGACACACACACACACACACACACACACACACACTCACACTCACTCACACACACACTTGCACACACACTAACACACACACACACACACACACACACTCACACTCACTCACACACACACTTGCACACACACTAACACACACACACACACACACACACACTCACACTCACTCACACACACACTTGCACACACACTAACACACACACACACACACACACACACTCACACTCACTCACACACACACTTGCACACACACTAACACACACACACACACACACACACACTCACACTCACTCACACACACACTTGCACACACACTAACACACACACACACACACACACACACTCACACTCACTCAAACACACACTCGCACACACACACACACACACACACAGAGACACACACACACACACACACTCACTCAAACACACACTCACACTCACTCAAACACACGCACACACACACAGAGACACACACTCGCTCACACACACACACACACACACACACACACACGCTCACACACTCACGCACGCACACTCTCACACACACAGAGTCTCTGTGTGTGTGTGTGTGTGTGTGTGTGTTAAGAGTGTGTGTGTGTGTCTCTGTGTGTGCGTGTATGTGTGTGTGAGTGTGTGTGCGCACATGTGAGTGAGTGAGTGCGTGCGTGCGTGCGTGCGTGCGTGCGTGCGTGCGTGAGTGAGTGAGTGAATGAGTGAATGAGTGAATGAGTGAGTGAGTGAGTGAGTGAGTGCGTGCGTGAGAGACGCTCACCGGCATCGTCTGTCCACCGTGGAGACTGTTAATCGCAGTCTGGGCTTCTGCATGACTGGAATACTTTACAAAAGCACAGCCTGTGGAGAGAAAGAAAGAATGAGAGAGAGGTTACTTAACTAGTCCAGTGAAGACTGAAAGATTTCATTAGTATCACGGTTTCCACAAAAATATATTACAGTAAGTATTGCTTCATAACCAGACCAAAAAAATAACTGAAGCCGTTCTGCTGATTCCACTGGAAGTGCTGTGTTTCCCTGCTGTGATCTGTGCTGTTTTTGATTTTGTTGGTTTGTTTGAAAGGACTGAATCTGAGTGAATTAGATGGATTCAAACAGATTTACCCATCATGACATCCCTACAGACAGAGAGTTAAAGCATTTACTACGGTAACAAACTCCGAGACTGACCCAAATCCTTCACATACACGTTAATTATAATGACTGTAATAACTAACATAAACTCTTTTTGGAAATGCAATTTTTTAATATATTTTAAGAAACGTGTGTGTGTGTGTATGTGTGTGTCTGAACGCTTTAACTTTTCCAGAGAGAATAACCGGAGAAGGTTTGCCAGGAGCCGCAGAGAGCCATAAAGAGGAAACACGGCACAAACATCCATCTAACAAACCCACAATCATCAAACCCTCCTGACCCCAAACGCCCAGCAGCTGGCCCGCAATTCATGCGCTTGGACGCCAGAAAATGACTTTTAATCTCCACAAACAAGATGCATTAATGCCGGAGAGAGTGCCACACTTTCATGAGACAGAACGACACTTCAGAAGATGAGAAAGCCTTTAGACATGACAGCGCACGTTTGAGGGTTTCAAATCTGATGGTTAGGGAAAACGCTCCGAAAATCCCTTTTTGATTCGAGGAGAAACATTTGGACGTGAATCCATCTGAGCAGCAGTGATGCTATCTTAACCAGCGCAGCTAAAGCTTCATTATTCAGGACAGAAATCCAGCCGAGCTACGAGTGAAAAGAGAAAGAGAAACAGTTGCAGCTGCAGTTTCCAACATCATTTACAGTCTCAAGACCACCAGACACATGCCACACACACTGCCTATAGAAAAGAAAATCATAAATGAGATATTTTCAAAATCCTAAATGTTTCACCCAGACAGAAATATGATTAAATGGAGAGCAAGTGAAGTTCTTGTTTCTCAGATGTTTCTCCCGAGAAAAAGCAACCCAGTAATCTCACGTGTCTCCATGTTAAAGCAAAAATAATGTCTGTATCCAAACAAGTTTCAAACACTTCCGCCAATCAATCAAACAGATAGTCCCGGCTCAAACTGAACGTGATTGGTTGAGTCAGAAGAGGACGTCATGCCAATCAAACTAACAGATTAATGTTCTGAAAGCGTCACGGCTTTTGTTAGTGTCTCTGAACATGAAACTGAGCCCACAAACCATCTGAACATCTAAACATTACAAATGTCATCTTTAAAGGGACTCTGAACATTAAACTGAATGAAAAAATGGATTTACTCTGAAGCAATTTTCACTCAGAAATCACTAGTGTGATTAATTTCACAAATAATTAGCACGTAACACATTGAAATTCTGAAGCAATGTAAAAAAAAAAAAAATGTAAAAAGATATTTCCGAGTGAAAATCATTCCTACAATATTTTAGTGAAGGAAAAACTGAAATAATATTTTCTTGTGAAATGTACACCAATGATATTTGTAATATTTGCAAACTTTAATAAATCATTTTTACAGTGCAGTAAGTGTTTGAACATCTAAAACAATGACACGCATCGACTTTAAGGGCTTCAGGTTGAATTAATAGCAGAAAATAGTGGAGAAGAATTAAAAAAGTAACTTCAGTTCTCTCAAACACCACAAAAGCTGCAACTACACACACACACCACTGATGCACCTTGATGAAACACACGTCTTTATCCAACAGGCATAAAGGCTTTTTATGAGTCAATAACTATAAATACAACCACAGCAGTGAAAGTGTTTGTGCCGTTTGCTTCATTCAGAACAGATACTAGTTATTTAGTGATCAGCAGCATAAAGAGAGATGATGATGAAGAAGCGGAGAAAGGGAGAGAAGAAGAGGGTGAGAAAGTGAAGGTGTGAGTAGAGTGAGAAAGACATACACTATGTCTGAAATAACATGCTACTGTACTACTTTAACTACTGCTGCAGTATGTAGAGTACAGTGTGTTAATGATCTCTACTGAAAACGGGATGATTTACACATTTGACAAAATGTGCATTGATGCAACATCTATTTCCAGCGTGATAAATCATCTCTTTTTTGACTAATTATTTTAATTGGACAGTTGAGACATTTTATTTTTTTGCACACAATTATAAATTCCTGTGTATTCCAAGGTCATGGGTTCGATTCCCAGGGAATGCATGAAGTGATGAAATGCATACCTTGATTAAAAAACTTTGGATGAAAGCATCTGACAAATGCATAAATGCAACATAAATTTCCAACTGGATGAAGGTTAAATTTAGGTTAAATTCCTCACGTTAATTTTTTCACATGATCCCAGTCTATTGCATAATTTATTAGGTAAGTAAAAGTTATTTAGAGTTGAAAAGGTGTTTAATTTTGTGTCCCAGTTCATTCTTCACATTGGAAATTGTAGAGTCACGTCAAGAGCTCTGCGTTACTGCACGCTGCACATTCGAATAAACGCCCTGAATACAGAATATTCACATACTATGCACGGTTTATATACTGCATACTTCAAAAATAGTACAAGTAGCATGGTCATATGATTTTCCAAACACACCTAAATATGAAAAATCAATAAGAGAGCTTTTGAGGTTTGTCTGTAGACATTCAGAGTCACAAGACAGACAGATATTAAGTGTGTTTACATGCACAAGATTATACAAGACTACTACTTAAACTATTGCTAATTAATACACACCTAGAGTTTTAATTGTTATCCCAACTTTGCTTTTCATGTAAATGTAATCAGCTTATTCAATATGCATGTCTTGTAATACAATTTTATATTATTAACATTTATTTTTAAATATATATAATAATAATATAAATATTTTGTATACATATTTTATACATAATTATAAATATTTTAATTATTTAATTTTATTTATTATTTTAATAAGATTTTCACCGGCAATACACCAAAGATTGATAAGACGTTCTCTTTATAAAAAAAAAAAAATGGATGTAATCCCATATACTTTTGCTGGAAAACAACAGCACATGAACAAAACATTACTAGTTTAATTATAATTATCAACTAACTCTAAACAATGTTTCCAAGTCATTCTCAAAATCCATATTAGCCAGCTAGATAATGTCGAAGTCACAGTCAGAAGACTGATACATGCATCAAACCAAACGGGCTGATTCATATGTAAACCTTAAAGCAGGTTTTCATAGCGAGTCGATTTGAACAGTCATGTGTTTGAGTAACAGAGGCTGAACGTGGGTCAATGGCGGTGTGTCAGAGAGTTGTGTCGGTGCTGACCCTTACTGGCCCCATCAGGCCCCCGCAGCACGGTGCACTCCTCTATCTGACCGAACGACTCGAACAGCCGTCGCACATCTTCTTCACTCTGCTGCTTCCCCAGCATGCCCACAAACAGCTTCCGGTCTTCTGAGAGAGAGAGAGAGAGAGAGAGAGAGAGAGAGAGAGAGAGAGAGAGAGAGAGAGAGAGAAAATACACAGTATTAAGATAAGACCTTTGCTTTACAGGAATTATGTGTGATTAAGTTCCATTTTATCCAAACATCTGTTAAAACACTGAAAACACACACATGCATTTTCAATCACTCACTTTCTCATGCGTACTTACAATTCTCTGTAACTAGGTGTGTTTACATTGTATCATGACTTAAATATTTAACACAATGTGCTAAGGGAAACAACAATGCTGGTGCACAAACTGGCTTGATACAGTGCTAGCATCTACAGATGCAAACATTTGCATAATAATTACTGAAATGCTGGACAAATAATCCTATTTCACCAATAATCTCCATCAAATCAGTGTGATGTGATTTCTCCCTGTGGCCACACACACAATGTTTTCTGCCTCATTGAAATTGGTGGTTTAACGAAGCATGAACGTTTGGGCAGTTTGATTGATTGAGTAATGGTTTAGCTGTTTGTGTGTGTGTATATGTGTGCACAAATGGCAGAGATATGGCTAAAACAGCTGATATACAAATACGGCTGAGATACAGCTGAGACACAGATGAGATATCACTGAGATAGAACTGAGATATGGCTGGGATATAGCTAAGATACGACTGAGATATAAATTAGATATAGCTGAGATATAATTGGGATATGGCGGAGATATAACTGAGAAACGGCTCAGATATAACTGACATATAGCTGAGACACAGCTGATATACAAATATGGCTGAGCTACAGCTGAGATACAGCTGAGATGCAACTGAGATAGAACTGAGATATGGCTGAGATACAACTGAGATATATATGGCTTATGGCCGAGATATAGCTAAAATACGGCTGAGATATAGCTGAGATATGGCTGAGATATAGCTGAGATATAATTGAGATACGACTGAGATATACCTGAGAAACGGCTGAGATATGGCTGAGACACAGCTGATATACAAATATGGCTAAGATATGGCTGAGATATAACTGAGATATGGCTGAGATATAGCTGAGATATAATTGAGATACGACTGAGATATACCTGAGAAACGGCTGAGATATAACTGACATATAGCTGAGACACAGCTGATATACAAATATGGCTGAGCTATAGCTGAGATACAGCTAAGATGCAACTGAGATAGAACTGAGATATGGCTGAGATACAACTGAGATATACAGGTGCATCTCAATAAATTAGAATGTCGTGGAAAAGTTCATTTATTTCAGTAATTCAACTCAAATTGTGAAACTCGCGTATTAAATAAATTAAATGCACACAGACTGAACATACAAATATGGCTAAGATATGGCTGAGATATAGCTGAGATAGAACTGAGATATGGCTGAGATATAGCTGAAATTCACACATTCACATAGAAAAGTTATTTTAAATTGTAATAATATATATATTTTTTAAATGCAGCCTCGGTGAGCAGAAGAGACTTCCTTAAAGAACATGAAAAAAAAACAATAACTACAGATAGATAGATAGATAGATAGATATGATCTGTTTAAAGAATAAAGAGAGATAAAGCAGCGTGGTGGATGTGTGTCACTTCAGTGGGCAACTGGGTCAGCAGTGTGTGTGTATGTGTGTGTGTGTGTGTGTGTGTGTGTGTGTGTGTGTGTCAGCGATCAGTCTTACCAGTGTAAAATTCACTAGTGTTACTGTCATCATTAAACAGGTCATATAACAATTACAGGATTCTTCCTGATCTCTGATGAGTCTGATGCAGTATGTAGAAATACTTTTTTAAAACCCATACATCACAAACACGACAAATACATCAGATCTGACAACACAACCACAACACGTGTATATGAGCGCTGTTACCTATTTAATTTGCAAAGACCTTAGCCAATTTATATAGAGAAGTCTTAAAGGTACAGTACACAGCCTGTGTGATTGTAAGGATCAGACAATTACTGTGAAAACCTAAATTATGACTGTAATGATGCACTAACATTAAAAGTGGACCTCAAGGGAAAAATAAGAGTTTAATACAGCATCAGCTGTGTTACATCATGAATGCATGAATATTATAATCTGTTCACTGTAAAGCCTGTCTTCCTCTCTGTACTCTCGATCGGGGACCGGGGCTCCGCACACATCAGGGGCCACTCGCGCACCCCATGTCAGCTTTACAAGCTTAATTAACTAGCCATAAGCGCAATAATGACCGTTTCCGACATGTTAGTCTACGCTGAGATAAATTAAATTAGCCACAGAGGATGCTGGAAGTTCCTGGAGCGTTCCTCAGGGACAGATGAGAGAGAAATTGAATTTACAGTCCGTTATCTTTTCATTCCCAGACCCAGACCTATGAGTTATATATTCACCATCTCGGCGTCCGTGGCGCTCACGCTCATGTACAGGAGATGGATCACTATTAATTAGCGTTCACGCCTGACCTGAGCCACACTTTAGGCTGAGATAGAACTGAGATATGGCTGAGATATAGCTGAAATTCACACATTCACATAGAAAAGTTATTTTAAATTGTAATAATATATATATTTTTTAAATGCAGCCTCGGTGAGCAGAAGAGACTTCCTTAAAGAACATGAAAAAAAAACAATAACTACAGATAGATAGATAGATATGATCTGTTTAAAGAATAAAGAGAGATAAAGCAGCGTGGTGGATGTGTGTCACTTCAGTGGGCAACTGGGTCAGCAGTGTGTGTGTATGTGTGTGTGTGTGTGTGTGTCAGCGATCAGTCTTACCAGTGTAAAATTCACTAGTGTTACTGTCATCATTAAACAGGTCATATAACAATTACAGGATTCTTCCTGATCTCTGATGAGTCTGATGCAGTATGTAGAAATACTTTTTTAAAACCCATACATCACAAACACGACAAATACATCAGATCTGACAACACAACCACAACACGTGTATATGAGCGCTGTTACCTATTTAATTTGCAAAGACCTTAGCCAATTTATATAGAGAAGTCTTAAAGGTACAGTACACAGCCTGTGTGATTGTAAGGATCAGACAATTACTGTGAAAACCTAAATTATGACTGTAATGATGCACTAACATTAAAAGTGGACCTCAAGGGAAAAATAAGAGTTTAATACAGCATCAGCTGTGTTACATCATGAATGCATGAATATTATAATCTGTTCACTGTAAAGCCTGTCTTCCTCTCTGTACTCTCGATCGGGGACCGGGGCTCCGCACACATCAGGGGCCACTCGCGCACCCCATGTCAGCTTTACAAGCTTAATTAACTAGCCATAAGCGCAATAATGACCGTTTCCGACATGTTAGTCTACGCTGAGATAAATTAAATTAGCCACAGAGGATGCTGGAAGTTCCTGGAGCGTTCCTCAGGGACAGATGAGAGAGAAATTGAATTTACAGTCCGTTATCTTTTCATTCCCAGACCCAGACCTATGAGTTATATATTCACCATCTCGGCGTCCGTGGCGCTCACGCTCATGTACAGGAGATGGATCACTATTAATTAGCGTTCACGCCTGACCTGAGCCACACTTTAGAGATGCTCGACTGCAAAGTGCAGCTCTATGGCATAATAACCAACGCTGATCTCAGACGCTTTGATGTCACTCATCAGACAGACACACACACACACACCTGCACTTCAGAGGGACTCACTTCTGTTTAAATTAAAACATATACTGTATATACTGTACTATGTGCAGCATCTGTTCTGTACACCAGAAAATACTATGACTTACAAAAACAAACTAAAATAATGCACTTATATTGTCTATGGAGCAGAAATAGGCAGCTTGAATGCAGCTTTTACACAAATCTGTTAGTACTGGCATTGATAAATTCTGAATAATCAGATATCATTATCGGCAGAAAAATGTAGTAACGTTGAATCCATAATATAATTCTATTGCACCCACAATCACAACTGAAAACGACTAAACATTTAGGGAGGGATAAAAGGAAAAGTGATTGATTTCTAACACAAAGAAGAAATCAAACAGGATCATATAAGACAAAACAAGTGCATCACTGCGGCACAATAATCGCTTATTTCAATGATGTTGTTTTCTTAATCACTGGAAGATACAATTGTAATTGTGTCCTAACAATAGACTCATATTAACATTTAAGACTTGTGGCTCTATTTTGAAAATATTTTAATGTTTATTCTAATGTAATAGAAGTGCCAGAACAGTTCACAGTATAAACAACTATCACAAAATCCTCTCAATATAAGTCACTGTGATCGGCTGATCATGGTGTTGAGTAGATAATGAATGCAAATGATGTGTGCAAATTGATCTGAATGCATCAAACTGCTTAAAGTAAACTATTTATTACAAAGCAAACAACTCATCCACTCTGACTTCATCAGTTCTGGTCACCAAATGTGAAAAACTGCCCCAAACGTGGACTGAAATCTGAAAGTTTGTCTGATAATGTCGTCTAGACTGAGTCAAATATTCTCTTCAATCACTCGTGTCTCATCGCTGTCCGTCTCTCAGCGTGTCGTGTCTTTCTGCAGAGCAAATGGTCTGGAAAATAAGAACCTGTCAGTGACCGTGTCCAATAGATGGCCTCGTAACGTGAACACAGAAAAAAGAAATAAAGAAATCTAGAGTCATCTGACAGCTGGGTATCCGAGAGTCTTTTCACTGAAGCCAAATGAATGGATGCACAAACAGCATCAGCAGAGCAGAGTAATGAAGAACGTGCGCTGATGTCTGATGTGCTGAAGGATGTTCGTGCTGCTGCTGCTGCTCTCTTTTGGGTTTGTGAGTAAATGACGACAGAACGCACATATTCAGACTTTTAAACTATATTCTCTCTCCTGCCTTTGTTTTCAAATGCGTTGTTCCACCAAAAAATGAGAGTTTGGTGGTTTATATGTTGTTACTATCACCAGAAACTTGCACAAAATTGTACGGAAGCTTTTTTCCATCATGGGATAAAAAAATATATATATAATAAAAAAAAATAAAGAAGGTAATTT